AGCGCGAGCCTCCCCAGCCTCTCTGGGCAGCTGCTCCAGGCTCGGCCACCCTCACACCAAAGAAGTTTCTCCTTGTGGGTTCTAATCTGTGTCCCTTGTCCTGTCACTGGGCACCACTGGCCAGAGTCTGGCCCCAGCCTCTTGCCCCCCGGGGCCCTTTAGATGAAGAGCGAATTGCTGGTTGAAAGGACACAACTCTGACAGTTGCTTATGCCAAAACATTACAAAGCTCCACTCTGGGGTGGGGATTTTCCCAAAGCTGTGGTCTGTAACCATTCCAGTTAGTCTGTTAGGTGGATCAGGCCGTGCAGGGGTGATCTCCAGCACCTCACCTAGCGTAAAGGAGCAAGAACCCCAAACCTGTTTCCCTTGGCCTCGTTTGCCAGCACACAGTTAGCAGCCCTGTGTGTTTGAAGAGGAAACGTGCTCAAAATACCAAAGCCCTTCAGCTCAGCAGAGCTCCTACCACCACTTCTGCTGCAGATCCATGTGGAGACGTTTGTAGCAATGTATGTAAAGGAAGGAGATACACTGGAAGTGAATTTTAACAGAAACTTTAGAGGAAAATTACATATTAATGAACTCCAGCACGGAAACCTTTTTCCCCAAAATGCTGTTTCACAAGTCATATTTTTAGATAAGTATAAAACCTGTGTGGATGATTTTTAACTTTTTTTTTTTTTTGCTTTAGCTTTCAAATGGAATCCCTATAGAGAGCTGGTTCATGGATAAAAATGACAACGAACTCCTAAAGTTGATTCCATTTCTGGAGAAACTTGTAGAGCTGGTAAGTGATTCCTCCATGTGGCTCTTCCCCACCCACTGCTCAGAAATGTTAGTTAGCCCTTTAATGATTTTCACATATTTTTAAGATATTTTTTTGAGTCACTGAGATACAGACTGCTGAAAGTCAGGCACATCTCTGAGGAGGATACTTTCAGTATCAGTACCTTCAGTATTTCAGAGGATGCTCAAGGACTTATTTACCTAGTAAAGGACAGAGTGTGGTTATTTCTGACTGTGCTTTATTGAAGAAATGGGGATTTGTCACATTGCTCATAATGAAATCAGGAATCTGTTTAATGTGTTTAAATTAACTGATGCCTATTGTGGCCTTTATTCCTAAATCACAAGTAAATTATTTGTAAACTGTTGTTATAATGGAGTCATAGAATCATTTGGGTTGGAAGAGACCTTTCAGATCCTGGAGTCCAACCATCCCCCAGCACTGCCAGGTCCCCACTGCCCCGTGTCCCTCACACCACATCTCCACAGCTTGGAAACCCCTCCAGGGGTGGGGACTCCACCACTGCCCTGGGCAGCCTGGCACAGCCCTGGGCAACCCTCCAGGGGAACAAATTGTTCCTCAGGGACAACCTCAACCTCCCCTGGGGCAACTTGAGGCCCTTTCCTCTTGTCCTGGCACTTGTTCCAAACCCCCCCTGGCTCCAGGCTCCTGTCAGGAGCTCTGGGGAGCCAGAAGGCCTCCCCTGAGCCTCCTTTGCTCCAGGTTCAGCACCCCCAGCTCCCTCAGCTGCTCCTCCCCACACTTGGGCTCTAGACCATGCACTTTTAATCCTATGCTTTATTATAGTAATAAGGCTTATAGCTAAAATGTAACTAGTTATTTCTGTAAGTCTCATGTAATTACATATATTCATGGCTTATATTTTTTTCTATTGAAATACCAGTGTTAGAAAATTGACCCAGTTAAGGTGTGATTTCTAGTAGTGTTCGTTCTCCTAAAACCTGCACCTTTGGTTTGTGTTTGTTTCTGTCCTTTCCCCTACAGAACGAAGATGTCCGACCTCACATCAGAGACAGATTTCGCTTGCATGACTTGCTACCCCCCGACTAAAGCCTTTTGTCTCCTTACTGAAGGGGGAGAAAATGCAGGACCCTTTTGGACTAAAACAAAACATTGCCATTACTGTTGAAATTTTGCATTTTTGTACCCCGTCTTGCTTTTCTTATCTTTGGTGCCCAACAGTGATCAAGGGTTACGGGAAGAGACTTTCTCTCTCGGAGAGCGGCTCCGCTGGGTGCGATACCGTACGCCACGGTAGGGAGGCTAGAGCAGAAAAGTCTTTAGAACTAGTGCGACTCCAGTGAAATTTTTTTTATGTACAGGACATCTGCAGTTTATAAAGAATTCTGTTTCTGCCACCAGCAGTTTGACCTGTAGAAACACAGGATTTTATGATATAACAGAGATTGAAAATGGACTCTTGTTTTCTCTCTGTTCGGTGCTCTAAGTGGGTTTGTAGCCACTTTTCTGTTACTTTTCAGATTCTCATTTCAACAGGAATGGCCAGTAAAAGTTGTTTTTATTTTTCCTGTTAAGGTTTATAACCTTTTTACATTTTTTGACCTGTATTTAGATTAGAATTTCATTATGCATTCCTTTTAGTTGAGGCGCTTCATAGGCTTTTTTTTTTTTTTCTGGAAATAGCCAAATTTTCTTAGTTTTTTTATTAAACAGTTGGATGGCCGTTTTCCTGCTTCGTCTGCCTGCATACTGTATATTTGTTTAAAAATACTCTCTAGTTTTAGCCCACGTAAGTTTCATTTAGAAAGAACTCCCTCCCCCCCCTGCATTTATATTTTTTTTTTTTTCTGTAATATTCTACTGTAGTCGAAACCTTTTCAAAACTCAAGAGACTGGCTAGCTGAGAGGAACGACTGGTACGGAGAGTCTTTAGAGCGGCGCGAGGGCGAGGTCTCTGGACAGACAACATCTTGCAGTGGCACCAACCACCGATGGAGGAGGAGTACCTCAGGCCAGGCCGGGCACGCGGGCCTGGGCAGGAGAGCCGGGTGGGTGCCCTCGTTGGGCCGGATGCCATTCCATCA